ACACAAACCCTTCCCCACCCTCCTACCTTCCAGTTAATCCTCTCAGATATCTGGAGTCAAAAGCTCACTCATATTCTGATTTGTCCTCTTCCTCCATGCTGACCCTTTCCAGCTAAACATTAAAACCAATTATTTCCTCCTATGGGATATACCTCACATCTGTCTTCCTTCGCTTCTTACCACAATCCACTTACTGATCATAACTATTACCATGTCTTCCCAACTTCCATTTTCTTCTCTTTTTATTTTATTTTTTCATTTATTGATTTTAGAGAGAAAGGGAATGAGAACTAGAGAGAGAGAGAGACATCAGTTTGCTGTTCCACTTATAGATGCATTCACTGGTTGATTCTTGTACGTGCCCTGACTGGGGGTCGAACCTGCAACCCCGGCATATCGAGATGGCGCTCCAACCAACTGAGCTACCTGGCCAGGGCTTCTTCTTATGACTCCCCTCTTAAGCTTTTGAAAACTCAGCACCTCTAATCACTGTTCCTCTAAAACAAAACACAAACATACTGAATCTGTTCCCAGCTGCTTTCAGGGTAAAGTTCAAACTCCTCACCGGGCTGTCCGAGGCCCCTGATCCAGGCCCCATGCTTCCCGCCCATTTCCCTCTGGACCTAGTGCTCCAGTCACCCCACATCATCTGTGGTCTGCTTTTCCAGGCTCCCAGCTCCGCTAGGCCAGTGTCCCTGCCGGGGAGACCCTTCTCACCACTTGTGCCCCTGTTCAAGTCTACCCATCATTCCAGACCCAAAGCCAATGGGACCATGGAGCCCCCTCTTCCAGAGGACCCCCGTGAACACATTCCAGGTGAGAAGTGGAAACCAAGACCCACACATCTGGTTGGGCATTCGCGTAATTTGCTTATATACTTGACATCCCCCTAGCAGATACGTTTCTTGAGAGCTGGGAGCTCCTTAGAATCATCTTTGCATAGTGAAGCTACATCACACATATTTATCGTAGAAAAATCTAACTGAAAGAGAGGAACATTTACCACTTAAAACGGTGCCAGTTACTCTACTCGGAAGGCAGATGTGCCCAGAATGGATGTGCGATAGGAGGTGTGGAGATCCTGTTTCCTCGGTCTCAGCTCCCACACACACCTCTCTAGGTGCAAGCATCTCAGCGCCCTAGGTGTGATTTTAATGAACACTCTCTGTAAACCCGAACCAACTTACTTCCCCATGGGGCTCATTGTTGGAAACACCAATCTGATCTAGCGGTAAAGGAACACATGCATGGGTCACGTAGAGAGATGCTACAGTATTGCATTTCATGGGCAATTAAAGAGATTTTCAAGGGCAGTTTTGATTATATGCATTTTTCCACCTCCCAACAGGGCTTCAGAACCCCACCCCCTCCATTAGCTGCAGTTCTGTTGTGTGTCCCACCCCCTGACCCTAGGCCAAAATGTCAACAGAGTTGACAAGTGTCCTGGTCCCGTGTACCATAGAAGGCATTGTTCCAGGGGACCTGGACTCAAATGACTTCAACCCATTAGTGATGAAAAACACATCACTGACACCTTGAACTAGCTCTCTGTGTGAACAATGACAATTCAACAGCTGAAAAATTAATTGGCAGAAAGCATTTTTGTACTTACGTCTACAGCCACAGACGACCTAGAATTAAACCCACACTCATGAAATATCGGAAGTGACATTTTAATAACTGACTTCTCTTAGCCATCATGTTTTGAGATCGTTGGCAACTTATTCTAAGGAACTCTGCCCGAAAAAAATGAAGGACAACTTAACTGTATTTAGAATTCAGAGTGAATGCAATAATATTGTCTGTTTAAAAAATCACTCAGTATTCCAAAGAAAGAGAAAAGAGAAGGAATATAGGCTCTCTACTTATTCTAAGTGTCTCACTTGGCTATTCATTCTCGAGTCTGTTTTCAAAGTAACTGACTTTAAATTCAACACACTTAGGACTAAAAACAATTTATAGCTAGATGTGTGATTTGGCCTGCCACCCTAAATTGAAATGGCAGTTATACGAATTTTTAAAAGAAAAAGATTAGGCAATTTTTCATGGTTTTAAGTGAAATTTGTCAAAATGATAGAGGACTCGGAGTAATGTTACTGCACCGAGCTTTGGGAATGACTCATTAATAATCCAGTTAGACTGTCAATGATGCTCTCAAATTACCCAAACTCCACTAGAAAACATTTCATTATAAGACAAATAAAATCCTCCCACTTCATGTGCATTATTCCTATGTTTGCCTAAAAGAAACCAGGTCAAAATTGAAAACTACTTCTTCCAGAAACATTCCCTTAGTTTCCTTTCCAGCAGGAGGTGATTTCTCCTTTCCCCAGACTTCCATAGCATGACAAGTCTTATTTTCTCAGTTAAACTGTAGATAACCTGGCTCCAGACCTTTCTCCTGCACCTTCTAGCTTCCCATGAAGTGGAGCTCCTAGCATGTCCCTTACAAAGACTACAAGCTCAGTAAGTGCTTGTGAATGAATGAATGAATGAATGAGTGAATAAATGAAAGCTTCTTTTCTTATTCCTGGTCTTGCTATAGACCCTAAATCCTAGTTATTTGCTAAAAACTTCACATTCACCTTTCAAACACATTAAAGTTGATAACCAAGTTTCAAGAAGTCATCCCATGGTGATTCTCACTAATGAACTTGATCTAGGCTGACAGTAATCTAGAAAGCTTATCTGCACCTCTTTCAACGTGGTCTACTTACAAAATATTAACCAGGCATTTACTTCCTCTTGGGGAGTGAAATCATTTCATTTAACAGCATCTACGGCTGTCAGAACTTTGGCAGACTTTGTGAAAAATACCGTCGTAACGGTCTGTATTAAAAATTAATCACATAAGAATTATTTTGTTTTGTTTTTACGACTTAAACTCCCTACTGAAAAGGTTCTATTGTGGGATTTTTGATTGTTTAATTTTAATAGTGTGGAGTATTTTTCTCATGATACAAAAGCATGGTTATTGCATTTGCTGGAGAGAAAATGCCTGTACTTTAAAACCAAGTTATACTGTACGAGAAACGCTTGCTTTCCCGCTCCCACACGTACTAACGGAGAATGCAAGTGGGCAAATTGTCTTGGTCACTTTTGCCATAAGAATGGTGAATTGCCATTCTCATCATACTTGATAAATTATCAAGCTTTTGCAACCTAAAAAAAAAAAGACAAGGTTGGGGGCAGTTTCCAAGACCCAGCACAAAGTTATCCAAGGAATTGCTTTCTCGTATCTGCTTCTCAGGAGCAAGAATATTCGTTAACATCATCCAGGCAGGTAGTCTAGGCACCCTGGACTAGCGTGAACTCACACCCAAGGAGAACGCCACCTCTCTTGCTTGAAAATCCTCCTGCACACCAGTGTTTCTTCTTAACAGCTTGACCCATTTTTCTCTTCTAGAAAGTAAGCTCATTCGTGACCTTGACAAACACCTCAATGTCTGAGTTTTTGCTTCCTCACCTTCACAATGGAAATTAAAACAGTATCTATCTCATAGGCTGACGATGAGGGTGAAATGGTGCGCACAAGCCTGGCACACGGTGAATGTTCAACAAGTGTGACCTACAGTCATCATGCATGTCTTATCTGTCAGTGGAGCCTGACACCACTATGGCTCCCAGAACAATTTCCTCTTGTCACTGACCCAGATATTGATCCACAGCCAATCAACATAAAGAAACGAATATGCCCAAAAGACAGATATTTTTTTAAAGTTTCACTGCACAAGTAGCACGGTAATTCTGGACCTTAGCAAAGGCGCGGGCCATCTTTCACTTTAAATTCTAATGCTTGTTGGCTCGGGCTAAGGGCCCCAGCGCTTGATCAGCCAGGAGGAGTGAAGAACCCTGCTTGCCAGCAGAGCAGCCCATCGGAGTCTCGCTGCCTCCCGCTCCCGCTGCCCCTCCTGAGCTCACCTGCCCTGCACCGGTCCACCCAGCAAACATCTTGTAAGAGAGAAAAAGAAGTAGTTGTTCTGCACTCTCCCTCTTCTTAAAATATGGCCCATGTTGTCATTCCTCCCATGATAGATGGTCAAAGGACAGATCTGTTTTCCTCTGCCAGACTTTATTTCAACTTTTTTTTTTTTTTTTTTTTTAAAGCAGCAAAGCCCTGGCCGGGCTCAGTGGTTGGAGCGTCGGCCCTCAGTCCAGAGAGGCCTGGGTTCGGTTCCCGCTAAGGGCATGTATCTCGGTTGTGGTTTGTCCCCGGCCTGATTGGATCCTGAGGGAGGCAGCCACTTGATGTGTCCCTTTCACGTTGATGTTTCTCTCTCTCTCTCTACCTCTCTCTCCGTCCTAGTCTGTCTGAACAAAACATGGAAAAATGTCCTCGAGTGAGGACAAAAAAAGAAAAAAGAAAGCAGCAAAAAACATACTGTTTTCTATCCCACCTTCATTGTTTAAAAAAATATTTAAAATGAATATTGATTGCTCCTTTTGAGAAACTAATCTCCATCTCTCTTTTCCTAATTAGACCCAATAAAAATATACATTCAATTGGGCAAGCCAGCCTGAAAATCATCCTCAAAGGCTTGAAAGTCAAAATCCAGACCAAGTCAGCACTAGATTCAGGGGGTTTTGTTTTTCTGCCTGAGTGATTGACAGAACTTATGGTGGGCTCCACATGGTCAAGGATTGCTAGAGTTTGGGGAAAGACATTAAGTTTGTATATAGCCTTAAAAAAAAAAAATTGGTGTGTTTTCTAGCCACGTGCTTCAGATTATAGCATTATACTTTGACCTGCTGCACCATTCTGGAAGTGCACCTCTTCAGAGGAGACATTTTCCCAGCTGAGTAGAATCCAATTAATTAAAGGAGGGAAAGGGTGTAAAATGGAAGTCTCTACCTTTGCAGTCGGGCATGGACAGTCAGAGGACACGAGGAACCTTTTCTCTGGTTGCCCAGTGTTGGGCCTTACCTGTCAGAGGGCAGAGGCCCTGTCAACACACATTAGCCATCTCATGATGCTACCCACGCGACCTCAGACGCCTTACCTGTCGCTCTTCTTGATCAGGATGGCCCTGAAGATGCGCTCAAGGGGAGTCTTCTCCTGCTTGTGGGCTGGTTGCACGAAGGGGTGCAGGGCCACCAGCAAGAAGCCCTGCTGGTACAGCTCCAGGAGCTGGGCAGGCAGGTCCCGCAGGGAGGCCAGCCGCACCGCTGAGGACCGCGGGAGCTCGGCTGGGAGTGGAGAGAGGAGAGGCTCATCAGACACCCAGACAACCGCAGCCTGCCCCTCCACGTCCCTCTCCCCTGGCCCTTTCCTGGGACCCCCAGGTCACCTCCTGCTAAAAACACGTGTGTTCCCGTCTCAACTACTGTCTTCAAGGATGACTACAAGCAGCCGGCTATTTTCCAAGTCATCCAGAGACACTGATAACTGGATATTTCTGCCTCTAGAGTCAATTTTCTCAGAGATTACATTGAAAACGTCATTTTCATCCACCCCACACCCCAAATAAAAAGAAAGAAAAGAAGGAGGAGAGGGGGGAAATACAACTTCATGCAAATATAAACTCGCCAGGTGGCGAAAAGCAGCATAAACAAACTCAAAAGATAAACTGAAGATAAGAAAAGAGGTGATAGTCTGGATTTGCAAAGAATTCCCCCCCCCCCAAAAAAAGAAGAAAAATGGGCAAAGTATATGAGTAGGCAATTGCCTAAACAACATAAAAAGTCAATCACTATTTGAAAAGACACCCAAATTAACTCAACATTAGAATTATGCATGTCAAAACAAATACATAGTGCCCCGGCAGGTTTGGCTCAGCATTTTAAGCATCGGCCCTCGGACCAGAGAATCCTGGGTTCGGTGCCCACGAAGGGCACATACCTCGGTTGCAGTTTGTCCCTGCCCCGGTTGGTGTCATGTGGGTGGCAACCAGTCAATGTGTCTCTCTCACATCAATGTTTCTCTCTCTCTCTCTTCCTCCCTCTCTCCTTCCAGCTCTATCTGAAGATAAATGCAAAAATGTCCTCAGGTGAGGATGAAAAATAAAAATAAAAAAACAAATACATATTTTTCACTTACTGAATTATTTTTAAATTTGGATTAAAAATTTTTGAGAAAGACAGACAAGATTGCAAATTCAAAAGGTACAAGCATATATACAATGAAAACTACATCCCAGCCCTATTCCCTACCTCTCAGGCTTTTTCCCTACAAGCAATCGATATTAGCCACTTTATAGATACACCTTAACAATCACCGAATTCATGCGAGTAAGTAAGTCTAGACATCTCCCTCCCTTTTATACAGATGGTAGTAAAACATTAATGCACCTGGCTTTTAATTATTTTTATCAATTATCAGTACATTTTTCTTAGTCTATTCAGCAGTAGTAGAGAGCTCATCTGCATTCTTCTTACAGATGTGCTGTGTACCACAGTGTGATGTACCAGAGATTATCCAAACTTTTGTTTTCATAAGTAATGCTGCAATGGAAAATACACTCATATAGTATATCTGACAAAATAAACTCCGAGCTGTGGATCTGCTGGGCTAAAGATAAATGCATTGTAATATTTTCAAATATTGCCTGATTTCCTCCATAGAGTACTACAGATTTACCTCCCATCAGTGATATACAATCACTAGCTAATCTCATAGTGAGGTGTTAATTTATATTTCTCTTACTATGTCATTTGCATTTTTTAATTAAGCATTTCACGTTTAAATGCTATCTGTGTTGCCTTTCTTGTTAACTGTTCATGATCTTTGCCTAGTTTTTACTGGGTCATAGGTTTGTAGAAACTCTGTATATATTAGGACATAATAGTCCTTAGCTATGATACCAGCTGCAAATATCTCTTCCCAATTTGTTGTCTTTTAACTTTGCCATGAAGAACTTTTTTTTTATGAAGTGGAATTTATCAATCTTGTCTTCAATTGCTTATGAGTTTTATGTCATAGCAGAGCTGGAATTATAAAATAATTCTCCTGTGATACCTTGTAGTACATATTTCATTTTTTTACATGTAAATTTTTGATCCATTTGGAATGTATGCAAAATGAATTCAACACTTCCCCCTCAAGGTTTATACATTTTTCCTCTTTGACTTGAGATGCCACCTTTGTCATATATTCCTGAATATATTTAAGATTATGACTGTGATCCATGAATCCATTTTAAGAATTTTAGTTTCATATTAGTTTTATCTGCTCAGGCTATTTCCTGAATCTTCCTATTTTCCTGTTAATTTTCTGAGTATGCCTGTCTATACCCATTTTTTTTTTCAAATAGTCTTTAAAAATCAGCTTGTCAAATTCTCCCTCCAAAAAAAAAAAAAAAAAATCTTGTTGATATTTTTATTGGATCATGTTCGTATTATAGCTTAACTGAAGGAGAGTGAATATTTTCATCAGGCTATAAGTACCCGTCCACGAACATGACATCATTTTCATTTATTCAAGACTTCTTTGGAGTCCCTCAGGTGCATATTCAAATTTTCTGCACATAAATATTGAACACTAAATTTATTACTAATTATTTTATACCTTATTGCTATTGGAATAAAAGAATGTTTTTCTCTTTACTTGTATGATATCCACTGTGGGCAAGAATATTGGGGAAACAGGCATGTTCATCACGGTTGGTAGGGGTGAAACTTTCTAGAGGGCAATGCCTTCAAACCTAACAGGGCACACACTCTTTGTCCAACAACCCCACGACTAGATACCACGCCGATGGCTGGACTCACAAGATGTTTCTGAAGATATATCAACAAAAGTATTCACTACAGGGTTGTTTACACAACAAAAGCCTAGAACCAGAGTTCTTTTTTGGAGGGCTAAACATTGGGACGTCTCAGTGATGACTCCTATGACCCATTTAAGAAGATCAAGGTAAATCTGTTATTTGCTGATGAACACATGTCCAAGATACACTACTAACTTAGGAGGCAAAGTATGTAACAGCATTGCCATATGATACTCCTGTATAAATATATTAGGAGGAGAAACACAAATAAAATTTTTTTCTGGAAAAGAAGCAAAGAGCCATCAATACTGGAGAGAGGGAGTAGAGTAGAGAGGGGAGGATGGAAAGGTGGTTTGTACTTTATTTTTTACTTTCAATACTAATATCATCAACGGGGATCATTTGGGTGGAGGGTTTATGAGACATTCTAATTTTCTCCTTTATATGTAAAAACAGTATTATTCAAACTTTTTTAATGTACTTAAAAATATTATTTTAAAACAAACGTAAAAACAAAATCTAAGGGTACTGAAGAATACTACTTAATATCAGATACTGTAGCTCTCATTTCCATACATCATGCGAGGAATTTACAGGAAAACAAAATCTATAGCAATGATTCACCCAAACACAAGTGTCCGGCATCCTGGAGAGGTCTCCATCAATAACAGCGACAAACACAAGACTGGCCAGGACAGCAGAAAAGTCTGCATTCTCGCCCTCGAAGGATACATTCTGCATATGCTGCTAGGTAAAAACCTAAAAGTCAGTCTGGTAAAGCTGAGCCGCTCCACAATTCCCACACACGGAAACCCTCCGGGTTAAGGGGCCCCTGAGCCTTAGACATGGAGACTCGGGCCCCACCGCAGACCTACTGCATGAGAATCTGAGTGAGCTATGTCTTCACAGCCTCCAAGAATGTCTGAGGCTCAGAACTGCTCTCCAGGGGGCTCCACTCTGGCCCTCCTCCAACCACTCTCCTCTCCACGAGCAGGGAACCTGGGGACCTACAGGAATGCATCCGCCTGTGACCTGCATACTCTCTTCAGACAGCCCCGGCCCTGGAACTCCCTGCCTTACAGCCCCAGGCCCAGTGTGGGAGCTTGTCGAAACTTCTGCAGCGAGGGTGGGTGCTGTCCCTTTTGTGTGCACCCCGAGGCCCAAGGAGGGACAGAGACAAGGGTGAGGCAGGGAGGAGACACTTGCCATAGGAGCGAAATTTAGGGGCACCAAACACTCGGTAACCATGAAAAGTAAACATGTAATGCAATAAGTTAAAAAGTGAAAAGTTGTGCAAAAAGTCCGTAATGAAGAAAATATCAAAAATTGTAATTAAGATGGGATCAGCATTATTGACATTTCCTTTTGTCTCAAGCTCCAAGACGGCTTGGGATGGCTCTGTTACTGATCTTGTCTATTAATGAAACATTGGCTCACTTGCCTCACCCTACTGCTGGCCCAGGCCCAACATCTCCTCTTGCAGCCTTGTCACAGGCCCTGCAGATGACGGGAGTGGGTCTGTATGTAGGTTGTGCCAAGGGCACCGGGGCCAGGTCTCCTCTGCTGTCAAGAGATTACAAAGCAACGCAACGGAAAGGGCATAACCATGTGTGGCATCAACATTAGTTGTTTCATTTGAAAAACCGAGTGAACTTGTGATAGGGGTGTGAACCTTTCTGGAGGGTAATTTCATGATAGTGACCAAACGTGAAAACACTATGCAGCACTGAGATCCCTTTTTCTTGGATAAAACTGTAGGGAAGAGCATCTGTGAGCCATCAAATGTGAGACCTCAGACTCAGCCGGTCTCTCCAGCTCAATATTTTATAAACGTTCCACATATTTTAAATTCCTACTGCTATAGAATTAAGCTTTACTACAATTTTTATAATTTATATAGTTCTTTCCTCTTATACATTACATTATAATTAAAAAAAAAATAGTTGATGTGTTGAGAAAACTTGGGATTTTAGTATCAGCTACGTTCCTCATTACATTAATCTTGGCCATGTGAGCACTCAAGTTTCCTCTTATAAAATGGAGATAATAACATCAGCCTAGCCCAGCCGGTGTGGTTCAGTGCTTGAGTGTTGACCCATGCACTAAGAGGTTGCCAGTTTGATTCCTGGTCAGGGCACATGCCCAAATCCCCGGATTTGGTGGGCCAAATCCCCGGTGGGGGGCATGCAAGAGGTGGCTGATTGATGTTCTCTCTCATCGATGTTTCTCTCTCTCTCTCCCTCTCCCTTCCTCTCTCTCTAAAATCAATAAAGAAAAAAAAAATACCATCAGCCTGTCTTCCATCACAGAGTGGTTGTGAGACTCAAATGGGATGATGGGTGTGTAATCCATAAAACTCAAAGGCATCACACTGAATGGTGCTGGCAGTGGTGAATGGGGAGCTGGCCAAGGGGACTGGTCAGCTGTGGATGGAGATGACACATGCTGCTGAGGACATTAACCCTCCCGCATTCACACTCA